AGGGAGACTCCGTCTCAGAAAAAAAAAAAAAAAAAAAAAAAGGAAAATGCAAATTAAAATCACAATGAAATACAACTACACACCTATCAGAATGGTTAAAATAAAGTGATAACTTGAAATGCTGATAAAGATACAGGGAAACTGGATCATTCATACATTGCTGGTGGGAATATAAAATGGTACAGCCACTGTTACGAACTAAACTGTACTCTCCAAAATTAGCAAGTTAAAGTACCAAACCCAAGTACCTCAGAATGTATTAATAACTGTTTTTGGAGATAAGGTCTTTAAAGGGCTGATTAAGTTAAAAAACGAGGGTAGGGCCCTAATCCAATATGGCTGAGAAAAGACACCAGGACAGAAAAAAGATCATTTAAGGATACAGCAAAGAGGTAGCCATCTGCAAGCCAAGGAAAGAGGATTTTTTTCAGGAGAATCCAAACCTGCTAACACCCTAATTTTTGACTTTTAGCCCCAGAACTACAGGAAAATGAATTTCTGTTGTTTATGAATTTCTGTTGTTTAAGCCACCTACTCTATGGTATTTCATTATGGTGGCCCTAGGAAACTAATACAGCCACTCTGGAAAACAGTCTGGCAATTTCTTAAAAAGAATTAAACCTGCAACTACCGTACAATCCAGCAATTGCACTCCAGAGAAATGAACTCTTATGTTCACATAAAAACCTGTACACAAATGTGTATATAGCAGCTTTATGTGTAATAGCCAAAAAAATGGAAACAACCCGGATGTTCTTTAATGAGTAAGTGGCTAAATCCATGCCATATGGATACCACTCAGCAATGAAACGGAACAAACTACTGAGAGCTGCAACCTGAATCAATCTCCAAAGGATTCTGCTGAGTGAGAAAAGACAATCCTAAAGGTTACATACTGTATGATTCCACTTACATAACATTCTTGAAATGACAGAATTATAGAAATGAAGAACAGATTAGAAGTTGACAGAAGTTAAGGAAGGATAAAAGTGGGAGATAAGTGTGTGTGGCTACAAAAGGACAACATGAGGTATTCCTTGTGGTGAAGGAAATGTTATCTTGACTATATCGATGTCAATATTCTGATGATGATATTGTACCACAGTTCTATTATGAATAGATGCTACCACTGGGAGAAACCAGGAAGAGTATATCTCCCTGAATTATTTCTGACAACCATATGTGAACCAATAATAATCTCAAAATAAAAAGTTTAAGCAAACAAGCAGAAAAAAGAAATACACCCAGTTTTCAGAAAAGCCCATTGGAGGTACAGGTAGAGATGTAGGTGAGTGTGTGTGCACACACGCGCACACACACAATACACACACACACAGCCCTCTTTAGCTGTGATAGGAAAAGGCTCTCAATTTGGACCCAACATCAAAACACCCCAATCCACTTACCTGCTTCACTTTGACTGTTGAGTAGTGAGGACTTCGGTTTCTCTTACTCCGAGGAGACTTGCTTCTTCTCCCTGAGGACTTGTTTTTCTTTTTGGGTGGGGACCTATACAGAGCATGGTACACAGAATTTTATCGCAATTTCCCTTCCCCCATAAAAATTAGCTTCCAGTATCAGGCTTACCTACTAACACAAACACTGCTTTTGTGAAGGTATCTGCCAGTCACATTAAAGGAGTCACGAGGTTCACTTTCCTAGCTCTAACGTCTCCCTTGCATTCCATACTCACATAGACAACTGTCTACTGAACCTTCTCACTTAGGTAACAAAACTCTTAATTTCCAACCCTTCAAAAACCTTTCCTCTCCTACTCCTTGCCATCTTGCTAACTGGCATCACCATCCGGAAGTCACCCTTGATTCTTTATCCCTCACTACCAACACCCCTACCATCAGGAACAATCCCTTCATCCTGTGGTTCTACTTCCTCCCTATGCCATCTCATTCCTACCACCCACCTTCTTGACCACTATACTCCACCGACACTGGCTTTTTCCCATTTCAATCATAATTCATTCTACTTCAAGTTCTTTGCAGATGTTGTTTCCTCTGCCTGGATCTTTAAGAGGTTGAATCATTCCTATCACTCAGGTCTGGACTCAAATAGCACCTCTTTAGAGAGGCCTCCTCCCTCTTCTCTCCAATCTCTATCACATTACTGTTATAATCTATCAATAATACTTGTTATTGAAACTTTTTTTTTTTTTTTTAATCATCTGTCTCAGGGTTAGAGCATGGCCAATTTGGCACTGGTGAAGATCATCTAACTGAATCACCCTTGCAGCCCCAATACCTAGGGCAGTCTTTCACACTTAAAATAGGCACTCAGTAAAACTATGGTGAATGAATGCATAAATAAATGAGTCTAGCAAGAAGTAACTTTTTTTACTTTTATTTTTCCAGTTTCTGTTAGGTAGCTCGCCTAGACCACGATGTGAAAACCTTTCTGGCAGGTAACTGGAAAGACAAGGCCCACACTCCATTTGTGGGCGGGATGGGGGAAAATCTCATTCCAATTTAACAGATTATCAGTGCTATCTGTTGGGCTACACTCTTCGAAGTGCTGGGGACACAAGAATGAAGCAGTGGGATCCTGCCGGTTTGTCATTAGGCGTTGAACACCGAGCTATAAGGCAAGTGTCCGAGCAAGCATAACACAAGCACGACTGGATCACTCTCAACAGTCCCTCAGGATTCAGTCCGGGCTGCTGCGCCCAGCATTCAAAACCTGTTTCGGACGCCAGCCCTGCCCGCCTTTCTGAATGAGCCCAACCCAACGTCCATCCTGGGCTGCTCCCCCACTTACCGGCTAACTCCTCGGGCTCGGTTCCCGCGGTGGCCCGGGCGGCCCGGCTCGCTGGCCGGCGGAGACGGGCTACCGCCGGAGTGGTCCGGACGGCGGTGGGCGGGAGGTGCGACTTCTGGGCTGAGACGCTCCTGCTTCACCACCACCCCCGCCGGCAGCACCATGTCCCCGTCCCGGTGTCTTCGCCGGCTCCCTCGTTCCCGTTCGCTCTTCACCGCCTTCATTCTGTGATTTTGTCTGAGCGAAAGAAAACAGATCCGTTGAGCTCCTCTAGCTGAAGGAAATGACGAGTTTGACTCCTGGACTTCCGCTTCCGGGGTGCCCAACCTCCCAGAAATCCTCGCGGCAGAGATTAAACACGTGACTACTCCCTAGTGGGCGTGGCCACAGTGACCGGCTTGGGTGGCGGGAGTTTCAAGTTTCAAAAACAAACTTCTGGCTGGGCGTGGTGACTCTCGCCTGTAGTCCCAGAACTTTGGGAGGCCGAGGCTGGCGGATCACCTGAGGTCAAGAGTTCGAGAACAGCCTGGCCAACATGGCAAAACCTCGTCTCTACTAAAAATACAAAAATTAGCCAGGTGTGGTGGCGCGCGCCTGTAATCCCAGCTACTCGGGAGAATGAGGCAAGATAATCGCTTGAACCCGGGAGGCGCAGGTTGCAGTGAGCACGGATCGCACCACTGCACTCCAGCCTGGGCGACAGAGCGAGATGTCTCAAAAACAAACAAACAACAACAACAACAACAAACTGGGAAAAAGCAAACCTCTCAAGACTGTTTGTTGCCACATTATTAGTAATTACAAAACGTGGAAACAATGTAAATACCCAGCAGTAGGGAAGTTAGCCAAATTAATGGGTGTTATGTGGCCATTAGTAAACCATTTACAAACTTTAAAAACCCTGACTTGTTAACGACAAAGCAGGATACAAAATTGTGCGCAAACCATAATTACATTTACATTTGGAAATAGAAGGGAGGAAGAAATGGAAATGCAATCAGAGATGATAACCCGTGGGCAAATCATTAGCTTTTCCTCTTCTATTTCCTGAACTTTCTGCAATGCTGTTGGGGCTCAGAAATCGAAACCCCAAAATATGGCTCACTGACATGCTGAACTGAAGAAGCCTCAATGTTCCTTCCCAGTGCTCACCGTCTCTCCCAAAGTGCAGGTCTTTATCTGCCTGAGATACAGACTACCAAAAGGAATCATTGTTTCTTTCTTCTCCTCCCAAGAATGTAATCACACCTGACCAGAGACCCTTATACTGTCAAAAGTAGCTATTTACAGCCGAGCACGGAGGCTGCAGCCTGTAATTCCGGCCCTTTGGGAGGCCAAGGCAGGAAAATCGCTTCAAGCCAGGAGTTCCAGACCAACCTGCCCAACATAGCAAGACTCTGTCTCTACAAAAATTAAATTTGGCAGGGGCTGGTGGCTCGTGCCTGTGGTCCCAGCAGAGACAGGAGGATGGCTTGAGTCCAGGAGATGGAGGCTGCAGTGAGCCGTGATGGCACCACTGCACTCCACCCAGGGCTACAGAGTGAGACCCTGTCTTCAAAAAACCAAACCAAAACAAAAAAACAACAAAAAACTATTTACAATTGTATCTCTGTTCCCTTATTAATTCATTCTGCCTAGTAATCCCTGAACAGAATTCCTCCTTCTCCCACCCTTATAAGTCTGTTTTACCAGGAGGGTATATAAGCTTCTGAACCCTTTTTGGGGTGGGTAATCACGCTGTGATTCTCCCCGTGTATACACTTTAAATACATTCGTATGCCTTTTCTCCAATTAATCTGCCTTTTGTGAATTGATTTTTGGGCGACTCTTCAGGGGGCAAAGGGGAAGTTTCCCATTGGCTCCTACATTGTCATTTCTCCATTTAATTAGAAAAATACTTCAGGCCAGGCACGGTGGCTCACGCCTGTAATCCCATCACTTTGGGAGACCGAGGCAGGCGGATCACGAGGTCAGGAGTTCGAGACCAGCCAGGCCAACGTGGTGAAACCCCATCTCTACTAAAAATACAAAAATTAGCCAGATGTGGTGGCAGGCACCTGTAATCCCAGCTACTCGGGAGGCTGAAGCAGGAGAATCGTTTGAACCTGGGAGGTGGAGGTTGCAGTGCGCCAAGATCACTCCACTGCACTTCAGCCTGGGCAACAGAGCGAGACTCCGTCTCAATTTAAAAAAACAAAACAAACCCTTTCTGGCGGTAACGACTTACCCACGAGAACATGCCTCTTGCAAAGGATCTCCTTCATCCCTCCCCAGAAGAGAAGAGGAAACACAAGAAGAAACGCCTGGTACGGAGCCCCAATTCCTACTTCATGGATGTGAATGCCCAGGATGCTATAAAATCACCAGTCTTTAGCCATGCACAAACGGCAGTTTTGTGTGTTGGCTGCTCCACTGTCCTCTGCCAGCCTACGGGAGGAAAAGTAAGGCATACAGAAGGATGTTCCTTCAGGAGGAAGCAGCACTAAAAGCACCCTGAATCAAGATGAATGGGAAACAATCTCAATAAACACATTTTGGGAACAACAACAACAAAAAAACCCTTCAAAAAACCTAGGAACTCCAGATGACTTCCTTTGGGAATTGTCCCTTAATCCTTCATGAGGAGTCAGGAGATGACTCCTGTTTTTCAGGTGACAAAATTGGGGTACGGCAAAGGTGATCTGCCTACTTCATTCAAATCGCGAGCTAGACGCAGCGCAGGGACTCGAACCGCCGTTTTCCTTGCTTTCAAGACTACAGAGACCAACCGGTGAGCAGAAGGCCTAAGAAGCCAGGAACAAGAGGTTTCCGCCCAGGAGGCACAGAATGAATCTCGCCGGTTGTTGGCCCCGCCCCACTTCGAAGCTCCGCCCAGGCCAAGAAGCACGGGGGCGGGAGTGAGGGGCGGTTTCCATGGTGACGGCAAACAAGGCCCACACTGGACGGGGCAGCTGCTGGGCTGCTACTCTCGCTGCAGCCATGATTCCCCCCGCAGATTCTTTGCTCAAGTACGACACCCCTGTACTGGTGAGCCGGAACACGGAGAAACGGAGCCCCAAGGTAAGTACGGGGGCTCAGGGGACAAAGCCTCGAAACTCCGATGGGGAAAGACAGGTTCCCGCACTGAGGGTCAGCAATCTCAAGGGACGGGGATTGCAGCGACTGGGAGTAAAGGGAATTGGGAAGTCGGAGAAGGAGGGTAAGAGGATTGTATAGGAAGCCCAGATGTTGGGTGTGACCCCAGAGGGCAGATTTAGGATGGGAAAGGAGGTCACAGGGAGATGGATGGGGCTCACTCTTCTTCATGGTACCCGGGTCCAAGAATAGATGAGGTAGTGATTTCCCCATCACCAGAGGTGTGAAAGCACATGCCTGAGCACATGTGCCAGAAACACTTGTTCAAGCATTGAATTGGGACCAGACTTCATGGCCTCCTTCAGCTCTGTGACATAATTTCTGCTGAGAAGACCGACCCAAAGTAGGCTAGGAAGAGGGGAGGACTGTGCAGAAGACCTGGAGCAATCTACAGGTTGGGGATATGTGGAGCTGAGCTCCTGAACCATTTCCTGCCCTCACCTGTGCCTTCATCTCAGGCTCGGCTACTGAAAGTCAGCCCCCAGCAGCCTGGACCTTCAGGTTCAGCCCCACAGCTACCCAAGACCAAGCTCCCCTCAGCTCCCTGTGTCCCAGATCCTACAAAGCAGGCAGAAGAAATCTTGAATGCCATACTACCCCCAAGGTAAGAAAGTAGGAGCAGTGGCTGGGAGAAGGCCTAGGCTTTGGCATGGTGGATTTTGGGAGTGTGGGAGGAGGCACTCTGCCTCTGTTCCTGGCTGGGGTTTTCTCCCAGTATCACAGAGCTCCTAGAACTTACATATGGCTGGATCCTGGCAGGTTGGTGGGAGACCTCTTCTCAATCTACCCTTGTTTCCTGCATGCTGTCACCCAATCTCATGGCTTTAGATACCACCTATGTGCCGATGGCTCCCAAATGTGTATTTCCAGCCCTGTCCTCTCCACTAAACTCCAGGCCCATAGAGTCTTCTACTTCCTCATTATCTTCATGAAGATATCTAATAAACATCTCAAACTCAACATATTCAAACTAAATCGCAATTTCTTCCTCCCCCAGTCTGCTCATCCCCCGTCTTCTGAGAACTTTTTACTAGGGACTCAAACCACCTTTCATTCCTTTTGGTCACTCTTACAGCATGTGTCCTATTCTTCGTCACATTCTTTTGGCTCCACCTTCAAATTCTTTCCCAAATCCAACCACTTTTCACCACCTCTGCTTCCATCATCTTGCTTCTCGTCACTGGTGGCCACTTGCACTGCTGCAATAGTCTCCTGTCTGAAAACACTGCTTCCACTCTGCTCCTAAAATCTATCCTCCATACAGCCCCTAAGTCATAAGTCAGATCATGCCAGTCTCTGCCCAAAACTCTTTCATGGCTTCCCATCTCAGACCAAAATCAAAAGTCCTTACAATGGCCTGGAAGATGTGGCATGATCTAGCCTATGATATATCCCTGACCTTATCTCCTGTTACTCTGATTCTTGTTCACTGTTCACTGTGCTGAATCCACAGGGGCCTCACTTGCTATTTCTTTTTTTTTTCTTTTGAATCGGAGTCTCACTCTGTTGCCCAGGCTGGAGTGCAATGGCGCAATCTCGGCTCACTGCAAGCTCCGCCTCCTGGGTTCACGCCATTCTCCTGCCTCAGCCTCTCGAGTAGTTGGGACTACAGATGCCCGCCACCACGCCCGGCTAGTTTTTTGTATTTTTAGTAGCGACGGGGTTTGACCGTGTTAGCCAGGATGGTCTTGATCTCCTGACCTCGTGATCTGACCACCTCGGCCTCCCAAAGTGCTGGGATTACAGGCGTGAGCCACCGCGCTCGGCCCTCACTTGCTATTTCTGAAATGCCTCATTCACTCTCCCATCACAGGGCCCTGACAGCTGGCGTTTTCACTGCCAAAGATGTTCTTCCCTTGATATTCTCCTAGTTCCTTTCATTTCTTCACTCAAGTCTTTCTCAGATGTCATTTCTTCCAGGAGGCTCTCCTTGAGAATTGGCTATAGCAGAGCACCCCTGCCCAACATGATCTCCTCTTCTTGCTTTTTTCTTCTGCAGCAACATGCGTTTTCATCTATTTTTATGTAATAAGTTGACAGCACAGTTTGTAAGGCTATGAGGAAAAGGAAAAACAGTGAAAGAGAGACTGTCATCTCCTCTGAGGTGGAGGTCAAAGGATGGGGGTAACTTTTCAGTTGATTCCCTCCCACCAATGATGCAGAAATCCTCTCTCCCATGGCAGTTTTGCCTTCAAACTCCATGTGATTCCACAACCTGGCCATCTCTGCCACAAGGTTCATTGTGGGGGCCTACACAGGCACACACCTTCACGAACCTCCCCACCCCTGATACACACATCTGCCTCTTTCTCACTCACACAAGGTTCATGATGTCCTGTGTTTCCCACCCCATAAGTTGGTGGGTAGTTCCTACCGTTCAGATCAAGCAACAACCATAAATCGGTCTTCAACATGTTAGGAGGGTAAGATCTGAAATGGTGGGGAATTATTTCACAGAGGCCCGTTGCCGTGGTGGAAATTGTCCACTACCTACCCATTCCCAAGGTCCCTATGGAGGCAGCATAGCGGGTGTGGCTTTGGAACCTCACATCCCAAGGGATGGAGGATTCTGGGTTGGTGGCAAAGCTGCCCCTCACTGCTGCTCAGGCAGAGGGCTCAAAGGGCCCTCTCTGCTCATGTGCTGGGGACCCTCGAGTCAATGGGTTTTGCTCAGTCTCGCTGTGTCTGCCACAGGGAGTGGGTGGAAGACACGCAGCTATGGATCCAGCAGGTGTCCAGCACCCCTAGCACCAGGATGGACGTGGTGCACCTCCAGGAGCAGTTAGACTTAAAGCTGCAGCAGCGGCAGGCCAGGGAAACAGGCATCTGCCCTGTCCGCAGGGAACTCTACTCACAGTGTTTTGGTGAGTGAGCCAGGTGAGGGGTGGACACTACATACCCTACTGCTCCCTTCCCTTCACCTTCAGCACAGCTCCAAGCCTGAGCACCCTAGAGCTGGAGCCCATCTCATACTGGAATCCCCTTTTCTCCCCCTGCCTGACCCACCCACAACAGCTAACTGCCCTCTTCCCCTCCCCAGTTGAAGGGGGTCAGCCCCTCTACACTTGTGGGTATGTCTCGTCAGGCAGGACAAGAGACTGAGAAAAGAAATAAGACACTGAGACAAAGTATAGAGAAAGAAAAGTGGACCCAGGGGACCAGTGCTCAGCATACGGAGGACCCGCACCGGCACCGGTCTCTGAGTTTCCTCAGTATTTATTGATTACTATGTTTGCTATCTCAGCAAGAGGAATGCGGCAGGAGAGCAGGGTGATAGTGGGGAGAAGGCCAGCAAGAAAACATGTGAGCAAAGGAATCTGTGTTACAAATAAGTTCAAGGGAAGGTACTATGCCTGGATGTGCACGTAGGTGAGATTTTTGCTTCTCTCCACCCAAACATCTCAATGGAGTAAAGAGTAACATCAGTATTGCGGCCAACATGTCTCACCTCCCACCACAGGGCGATTTTTCTCCTATCTCAGAATAGAACAAATGTACAATCGGGTTTTATACCGAGACATTCAGTTCCCAGGGGCAGGCAGGAGACAGAGGCTTTTGTCTTATCTCAACGGCAAGAGGCCTTCCTCTTTTACTAATCCTCCTCAGCACAGACCCTTCACAGGTATGGGGTTGAGGGACAGTCAGGTCTTTACTATCCCATGAGGCCGTATTTCAGGCTATCACTTGGGGAGAAACCTTGGACAACATCCGGCTTTCCAGGGCAGAGGTCCCTGCCCTGGAACTCCCTGCACAGCTTTCCGCAGTGCATTGTGCCCCTGATTTATCGAGAATGGAGAATGGCGATGACTTTTACCAAGCATACTGCCTGTAAACATTTCATTAACAAGGCATATCCTACACAGCCCTACATCCCTTAAACCTTGATTCCATACAACACATGTTTCTGTGAGCTCAAGGTTGGGGCAAAGTTACAGATCAACAGCATCTCAGGGCAAAGCAATTGTTCAGCGTACAGGTCAAATGGAGTTTCTTATGTTTTTCTTTTCTACATAGACACAGTAACAGTCTGATCTCTCTTTCTTTTCCCTACACCAGCCCCACCTCTTCTACAAGTCCTCCAGCTGCCAGCCACTGTATTCTTGGCAACTTGAGTTCCTCACCCCTTAGCAGATGTTTGGAGTAAAATGAGAACTTCCATCTGTTTTTCCAAAGATTTCTATAATAAGCATGTGCTAATTTTTTAGTCAGAAAGATTAATGTTCAGTATTTACCTCCATCCATCCATGAATATTTGGCCCTTGGTCCAGAAAAATATTGTGATTTGTTGTTAACCGACAGACACAAGAGATTTAAGATGCACCTCCTTGAGTGCTGGTGTCAAATGGCTGTCCCCCGGCCCAGTCTCACTGGCTCTTATGGATGCCGATCTCCAAACCACCTTCAAACCCTCAGGCAGCTGCAGGGTTTAGCAGGCTTCCCTATCCGTGTGTTGTTACGCTTCGCCCTCCAGGTCAGCATTTATGGGGAGATAGGTGGGCAAGCTCTAGAAGTTGCCGTTTCCAGCCTCAAACCAGTGCAGCCAAGGGGGCACACAGGATGTCCCAGCTGCTTTAAAACAGCTGCCATCTTTAAACAGAAAAAGTCAGGTTTTTTCTAATAGTAACCAGTTTTTACCAAAGGCTAGAAGGG